GATGATGCATGTTGAAATCCAACTTAACTCGGTGCAAAAACATTTCCTTGTCCTAATGGATGTGCAAGACAAAGCAGCAGCTGTGTACTTAAATGTTTGGCATTGACAGAAACACACCTACACAATGTATATTTTAGTTTTGGCTCATGGTGGAGCGTAAAGAGGCCCACAGCTCCCAGAATGAGAGTTTTGAAATGCTATGAGACGGGAAGAGACAACAGAGGGAGACAGAAAGCCTCTGGACACACAAAAATCTGTTGTTGGGTAACCGAATGTTCATTTTCTTTGCAGAATAAAAACCATCCAAGTTGAGACGTCTTTTTTTTTTTCAACCTTTATTTAGTCAGGTTAATCCCATTGAGCCTCGAGGACTCATTTACAAGACAGACCTGATGTGTGCTTTGGTACTAATGAGATTTAATGAGTTAAGCTGAAATGATTAGAGCTCCAAGTGTCACACGGCAGGGCAGCTTCTGTGAGGTTTGGCGTGCAGAGACCTTGTGCCCCGTGCAGCACAGAAGAGTCGGCTCGGTAAGATAAGTTGGCTCGCCGTCCTGTTTATCAAAGGGATGTGAGGTGCAGAGCGAGGACCCAACCAGGGAGGAATGAGCAGAGTCATCGGGCTTCTGAAACACGACGCTGCGTCTTGATGGCCTGCAGCAGCTGTGCAGCCACTGTATCCCTTCGAGCGCGTCTCTTTACGTGCGCAGAGATGTAGAATTTCACGTTCAAGTGAGGCGGTTTGTGCACAAAGAGAAGTTGGAAAAAAAGGTTCCTGAGTTTGTGTCTGTCCATTACTGAATTGATTCTTTTCTTCACTAAGTCTGGTTTGCTGATTTATCATGTTGATGTTGGTGGACCGAACCAAACTATATTCGTGTGAACGCTGAGTCAACATTTACGCTGTTGTTTTTCTCTTCTGTGTTTTTGGCAGTCAGACTACGTCTGCTTACTTTGTGCTGTTTTAACCACTCATGTATCAAAATGTTGGAAATAATCAGCTATGATTTGTGACATTAGAATAAAATTTATTCAAATAAAATGCATTGAGATCCCTCCAATTCCTTAAAACATTGTCTTTAAAATCTAATATTGACTTCTTGTTGGCTTTCTTTAGCTACTGTTGTTCTGGTTATAGGTTTAGCTACTGTTCTTACAGCTGTTGTCTCCTTTTGCTCATCTATAGGCTTTTATCATTATTTTCTCAAGTTTAGCTTCACCTATTAAAATGGAAAATTTAACTTTATATCATTCTGCTAATTTTAGTTTTTAGTTGTTTTACTAATTTAAACTTTTTATCCTTATTCGACTCATTTTTTAGCTACTGTTTTACTAATTTTAACTTTTTACCTTTATTCTGCTAATTTTAGCTTTTAGCTATGGTTTTACTAATTTTAATGTTTTACACTTATTCTGCTAATTTTAGCTTTTAGCTATGGTTTTACTAATTTTAATGTTTTACACTTATTCTGCTCATTTTCAGCTTTTAGCTACAGTTTTGTAGTGAACTAAGCCTCAGGTCAAGTCCTGACCCTGAGGGCCTTCCTGGAAAAGGAACTGTTATTTCATTGATTTGAGCCCAGAAACACAAATTAAGCTCATCCAGAGATTTTCTAAGTGTCCTGCACTGATCAATTGAAAGAACACTCTCTTTTTTATTATCATTACTATTTTACAAATGTCTTGATAATCAAAAGTGTGTTTAGTTCAAACCATTTTAAATATTGAAGTGAACTACTCATTTTAAATCAACTGTGAAACAGTATAAATGATTTTTAATCCTCATTCAAAGTAGAAATCAAGTTAATGTCTGTTACAAGAGTAATTATGCATTTTTGATCTTCTGTCTGAAATGAGCAAGTCGTGATGTGGGTCAGAAGTCAAGTTTCGGTCAAAAACATGTTTATCGGAACGGAATGTCATGTTTAACTTTTTCAGACAGATAGAAGGAAAACGGCTCCTAAAAGTCTCTGTTCTTCAAAACATCTTTCTGTCTGTTCTTAAAACAATCTACTCTTTCTCCTTGACTTTTAATGACCCTCTTACGTCACTAAGACCACACCCCTGTTGGTTCTTTCAACCAATCAGGAAGTTCTCAGAGGAACCGGAAGTGACCTCTTTAAAAGGGTCAACACTTCCTAGTTCCAAGCAGAACAAAGTTCCAAGCAGAACAAGAGTTCCAAGCTGAACAACGTTCCAGAGAGAACCAGAGTTCCAGGGAGAACCTCGAACGAGAAGTTCAGAAGAACAGAAGTTCGAGCAGTTTCTAATGGAATGACCAGAGTCCGTCGATGCCACGACGTCTCGCTGTGGCTACTCGACGAACGCTCTGAACAATGAAGAAGTCTGTTCTGTGATGATCTCACGACTCCTGAGGACACAGCTGTTCTTACGGAGACGCTGAAAGGTGGCTTGAAGTGGAACTTTACGCCGGAACTGAAATATCTTCAGAAAGGTAAAAGAGTCGATCTTCAACTACCAGTGTACCGTGGATTAAGCTGCGCTTCAAGAGCGTGTCGTTCTGGTCTACAGACCTACATCTTCATCCATCTTTTCCTCTCCATTTAAACTCCTTCATTTCCCATCTTTAAAACTTCTATCTGCCAGTAATTAATCCAGATATTTTCAGAAATGTCTGTTGGTTTCAAAAGCTGCAGGTGAGGAAATCATGGCCGTATGATTTTCTCATTGTAAAGCTCATTAATTAAGCTGCGTTATTGTAATCAATCTGCCAATTATTGTAAATGTGTGATGTGTTTAAATCGTTTTTAAATAAACGACCCACTGTTGTTGGTGAGTCAAAGATAAAACACGTTTCCGTCCACATTTAATTATTCAAAACACGATATTACTCTGTCCAGAAAAATGAAAGAATCCGTTTAAATTATGAATAATATCTGACAGGTATCTGTTCATTACAGTTTTACTAATTTTGGCTTTTTATCGTTATTTTACCAATTTTAGCTTTTATCTACTGTTTTACTATTTATTTATTTTTTTACCATTATTCTGCTAATTTTACTTTTTAGCTGTTTTACTAATTTTAACTTTATACCCTTATTCTGCTCATTTTAGCTTTTAGCTACTGTTTTGGTTACTGGTGCCAGACCTAGGGTTATCTGGGCCAGTAACGTGATATACAGGATAAAAAGCGCTGTGGATCATTGAGGAGAACTGGTGGATTAGAGTCTTTATCAAGCCAGCGCCATTTTATTTCTGATAATATCAAAAATATCTTCCTTTTGAAAGGAAACAAAACATTTATGATTTGTTTCTTGTTTCTTTGTTTAACTTTGTTTGAAACTTCATGTTTCAGTAATTTAACTTTGTTAAATTACTGAAACATGAAGTAATAAGAACCAAAATACTAAACTTACAATAAAACCCAGTACTAGTGCTGCTAATTCAGCTCATTACTGTTGGCTAAATGCACAACATGGCGGCAGTGGCTTAACAAGATGAAAAGTACAAATGCGACAAGAAAATGACATTGTGGTGAACATACACCCCACTCCTCTTACAGCAGTTTATATCAATATAGTACTATCTACTCCTCAATTTAGTACTACACAATCCACATACTGGAAACTGTTCTATACTAACAAATGAGGTAGTAAAATTAGAGGTGATGCGTTTAATTTCACAATATAGGTCAAAGGCTGAAAAAGGGGCAATTTGTTGTCAACTGGGAACTTCAGAAGTTTGAGCTTGGCATATTTTTTTGAAAATTTAGCAGCAATTTAGTTAAATCTAGGAAACTGGTAACACTGAATATGGTGTCAAGGATAACCTCTTTAACTAGTAAAACTCCAGAATCACTATCAGAGGAAGAAAAGCTAGAACTCTCGAATTTGCAGATTAAATTAGATGAACCGTACAACCAGAACGCCAGAGGTGCATTTGTCAGGTCCAGAGCAAGATGGCTAGAGGAAGGAGAACAAAATTATCACTATTTTTTTTTTTAACTTGGAAAAGCATTGTGCCAGTATTGATAGTGTCGCTAAATTGAATGTGAATGGAACACTAACGAATGATTATAAAATATCTGGACACTGCAGTCGATTCTTTGCGGAGCTATGTAGCTCTAATTTTCCTAGGAGCCTTTGATTTAATTTATTTTGGGTTTTGTGTAAGATTGGGTTAAAGTTTGAGGCGCTCCTGTTTTGATAATTTGTTACTAAAACGCCAACACACTTCCTCTTTTACACAGCTCAGATTTAATGCCGTTTTTAATAGGCATAATCTCACATTTCTTAATACTGAGGGATAAAGCAGATGCCCTTGAGAGCTCCTGAATTGTATTAATTCCTGCAGAAGTTTTTCATGTCTCTAAAAAAGTGTTGTGTTAGCTGCTAGTTGTGTTAAAATAAGCTTATTACAAAGAAGAGAGAAGCCTTCTACAGCACTTCTACTGAATATGAGATGCCATAATCTGTGCCACCAGCAAAAAGAGGAATGGAGAAGCAGGGCAGCCCCGTCTTATTTCCCTGGCGATATTAAATCTATTGCTTTGGTATTAGCTCGTGCTTTGTTGGTTTCAGCTGTTTGCTACTGTCTTGCTCTTTTTGACTTTCAGCAGCTGTTTTGTTCGTTTTAGCTGTTCTGCTCAGTTTGTTCAGATGTTCGTCTTGTTTTACCCTCAACATTTTACTTTCATCTTCTTCTAGTTTCAGCAGTCACTCAGCGCTCAGCTTTTACACAAAATGCACATTTTTCTACCTTAACAGTAATTTTAAAAAGGTATTAACAGCAAGAAATCTTATTTTTTATATTTATGATCAATTACTTATCTTCATTCATTTGGACTATACTGTGCACTTTCACTGCAGAAAACCCCAAATCAATTTTAAATTTGAGTTTGGAATAAAATCATTTACATGATTCAATGGTGATTTTTGTTAATTACAGCTTGATCCACCTCGGTGCAACAACCAGAATTATTGCCATGCTGTTGGATTTATCCTTCCTTTCCTTTCTCCAGCTCAGTCTAGGGAAACCCCGGTGTGGTGGTCTCCCTCCGCGATGCAAAGATGGCAACCCGGCTCCCTTGCCCAGGCACCAATTTCTTCCGCCCCTTCACCCAGGGGTCACTGGTGGAAATCGAGAGGCGCGCAGCGGACAGGAAAAAAGCAGCAGAAGAGAGCCATGAGGAGGAGGAACCGCTGGCCCCGCATCCTGATCTGGAAGCTGGCAAGAGCCTGCCACTAATCTACGGAGACCCTCCCCCGGAGCTGCTCAACACGCCTCTGGAGGACCTGGACCCCTTCTACAAAGCACAGAAAGTCAGCCTGAGCTCACCTCAGCTGAAACACACCATCAGATCACATTAGGACGCTGTTCTTACATAATTTTACATAAAACACGACAGGACTTCACATACGTTTCTGTCATTACATCTGCATGCCTCATAAAAGGTGTAAGGTTTCATTTGTGGTATGCATGAGCTGCAATTAAATTTTATGGACTTGTTTCAAGCTGTCATCAGTAACGATTTACTGAAACGTTGTCTCGAAACATTAAGTTCAGATCTGTTGAAGTGGGGTTCTGCAGGTTACAAACACATCATCTTACCTGTTGTAGACAGCTCTCAGTCAAGAGAAATTGTTTAATTCTGACCAGATTAACAAGCTACGGGCTGATCTGACCAGACCAAAGCAGATCGGTGCCGTCAAAATCTCACAATCTTCACAGCGGTTCGTACAAACAACAGCTTTACACGGCTGCTAGGTTAGACGTGGTTATTTCTACAGGAATTTGATGACATTCCTGCAGAAAGTGCCCACAGTTGCACCTGAGGTGATACCGTTAGCTGCTGCTATGTGCGCTTACGAACTTTGATGTGAGCAACAAGCATCTTTACAACCGTTCCAGCAAAAATAATAAATAAATCTTATAAACATAGGTAAACGGTGAAGGAGACGGCATGATTACTGTGCATGAAGGCACAGACGAGGCAGAGACAAAGACAGCTCGTTGTGGCTGCGCTGGCCTCGACGACAGGGACACGTTTCCTAAGTTTGCTCATTATTGTGCACCGTAACGGAAAAGGTGGATTGCTCTTCGTGATTAATTTGCAAATACAAAACATTGTTTACTGTCTGAGTCAGTCTGTATAATAAAACAGTCTGGTCATGGTAAGGGAATTAAAAATCTGTACAGGTAAGCAACCCATGGAGTAACGTCCACTGTCACTAATGCGTCAGCAACAGCAGAAATCTTTTAATTTGGAGTTTAGAGAAGCTTTTACTCCCTGGCCCTCTGAGACCAGCTTGTCGCTTTGATCAGAATTAAACTTTGGCTGTGTTCAAAATGTTCACACCGTGGTCACTATATATTGTGTTAAACTACAGAGGACGGCATTGCGTTTTTACATTTGTAACACTATTCATATCAGTCAAAAAAGCATCGTGAAGAAGAAGAAAAACATATACAAGTCGCTTCGGCGTGTAAGTCGCATACGTTGCGTTTATTTAATGGTCAAAACAGCTTCATTTTACCTGGGCAGCGCGGTGCCATCCATCCATCCGTCGCGGCCGGAGCCACTAGCTCTCCAACGTCCCTCCGCCTGCACCAGCTGAGTGAAGCGAGCACGCACGAGAGGACTCGCTGTTGCAGTTCTTAGAAATTTAAAGCATCAGTCAAAAATCGTTATGAATATGGAAAAGAAAACGTATATAAGTCGCAGGACTGAAAAATCCATGCAAAAACTGCGACTTATACGCTGCAAAATACGTTACTTCATAAATTTGTTCCCAGTACTCACATATAGCAGGATATACTGGAATATATGCCTGAATCTAAAGTGATGGACTTGATAGTTTTACTGATTTTAGTAGAGAAAATTAAGTCTTTTTTAAAACTGAGACCTCAGTCAGAGGTCATTTTGACCCAAGGGCAGCAGGAGGGTTGACTCATTGGTTTTCAACGGCCTAAAATGTTTGAGAACGATTAAATTAGCCCAATCTGTCTCCAGAACACTGACATTAAGTTTACTTCTGCTTATGTGTTACACCTTTTGTTGTGTTCTATGTTTTTACACAAATGCAGACTCCATCTGTAACTTCAAAAATTATAAAATTATTATTGGCTGAAGAGAGCCGCACAGCATTATAATAAAGTTTCACTTTATATTATGATCTTTAAAATGTTTCATATTTACACCAAAACGTTTCAAATAAAGTTTCAGCTCAGTTTTTGAACAACTTTTCAACCCTCCAAGCTCAGGATTAGAGACGTCTACATAATTACGGCATTTTCAGAGTCTGAAAATCACAACAGTGAGCTACAGGTGTTAGCTAGGCCTGTCACGATAACAAATTTCGTTGGGCGATTAATTGTCTCAGAAATTATTGCGATAAACGATAATAATATTGAAATTTGACAATAATTAGTAATGGCAAATTTAAGAAGAAATGTTGGTTAATTTTTGTGTGTAGTATATTTTTTATCGCTGTATGGCAGTATAAGACTGTTTGAACCGAAGGATGGATAGTGAGGGAGCGAGCAGTGTATCTGTAAGAAAAATGGGAGGGAGGCCCCTTGACGCGACATGGGCTGTCTCTCGTTCCTGTTTTTCGGTTCTCGAAATGGCGGATGCTCTGTGTGGTTTAAACTCCTTAGCATAGCATTTGTCACACAAAACTTTTAATAAAAAAATTAGTAAACAAGTTTTCAGCTTATTTTTGCAGAGAAAAGCAACTTTTTACACGAAGGCACAAGCTTCAACCGTGAATTTTGGAGCTTCGACAAGACGGAGTTTTTTTTCCTCAAGGTCGGCCTGTTAGCTTAGCTCGTAGCTTATCTTCTCAGTTAGCTGCTTTTAACAATCTAAAAACACGATTTTGGACGGTTAAAACAGATTTTAAAAAGAAAGAAAGGAGGGGTCAGTGAAGAGCACCGGAGTTGAGCCTTTTGTCATCCAGTGTCTTCCGTAAAAAAAGAGAGAGAGAAGAAACGATAAAGCCGATAAATGAAAATGAGCTTGATAATTTTCATTTATCATGCGATTAATTGATTTATTGTTTATCGCGACAGGCCTAGTGTTAGCATTAGCTTTCATTAGCTTGCTGTGTTGGCTCAGACCACAATGCATCATGATCAATTTCCACTTCTGCGCACAACTTTTACTGAACCACGTGACCAGTTATATGAAGCGAACGAGTGGACAGTTTGAACACAGTCAATATTTCCCTAAACTGAGGTTGTCCAAAGAGTTATCTGCAACAGGTAAGATATTATTTATTCAAAGGCTTTCCGCTTCAGAAGAGCTGAACTACGACTTGAAGTTTTCTGAATGACTCTGTTGGTTCCTTTTCAGACGTTCGTTGTGATCAGCAAAGGGAACACGATCTACAGGTTCAACGCTGACCCGGCTTGTTACATTCTGAGCTCGTTTAGTTTGGTCCGGAGAGGAGCCATCAAAATTCTCATACATTCATATCCTTTCAGCCGCGCTGTTTGCCCACACTTTAAAATCATTACGCAGATTTACCTGTCTGCTGTGTTCAATTTAAATCGATCAGGCTCTTCATTCTGTTCACAAACGAGGTGTTCATGCTTGTTTCCTTAATCCAGACCTAAATTATTTAGCATGTTCATCATGATTACCATTTTATCGAACTGTGTGTTCATGACGATGAGTAACCCACCAGCGTGGAGTAAAACGGTCGAGTTAGTACATTTCATTTCATTTTCTAATTATTCCAGGGTTGCAGTTTTTTTCCTGCTTCACGTTGGATTATTTATTTTGTAGATATGTTTTCACTGGGATTTACACATTTGAGGCCACAGTCAAGGTCTTGTCGAGAGGTTTCTGTGTCGGTTCTTTTACATTCCTTCGAGATCCGTGGAACTGGCTGGATTTCATGGTGATCAGCATGGCGTGAGTATTTGAGAGTGTTTTCATTTATAATACGCGGAATATGTTTTGTGATTTTCTGCTTCTCACGCTGCACCGGGATTAGATCATACTGAGTCAAATCGGACACTTGAATTTTATTTTTTACATCTTTCAACAGTTACATCACTGAGTTTGTTGATCTGGGCAACGTATCGGCCCTCAGGACGTTTCGAGTACTTCGAGCCCTAAAAACGATTACTGTAATCCCTGGTAGGTGACAGGATCTGTGTGTGTTGTTCTTATGTCTTCTGTCCTGCCTTCCTCAGCGTTTTCTCCTTCGTGTGATCAACTCCTGCCTTTGCCACCTGTTGTTCTTCTCCAGGTGTTTGTGTTTATACCCTCGTTAGTGTGTCTATATATTCTTTATTGTTCCCGTGTCCGTGGACTGTCCAGTAAGGCGTCAGTTTCCGTTTTTCCTCCGAGATGTGGTAGAGGCAGGGCAGCTGACTCGGGACCCAAAAGTCCCAGGTTCGATCCCCAGTCATAGCACACCTCGTGGTGTCTCTGAGCAGCACACCCTATCCCCAAATTGCTCTCTGGGCACTTTCAATAGCTGCTCACTGCTCCACCTGGTGGTGGATGGGTTAAATGCAGAGAGCCAATTTCACCATTGTATGGAAACATACAATGATGACAACACTTCATCACATCATTATTCTCCGTAGGTGAGCTTTGCTGCCATGTCAACCCTTTTGTTTATTTTGATAAACAGTATCAGAATCAACCTTTATTGTCATTGCACAGAAGCACAATGAAACCACATTACAGCACAGCCGTCCAAAGAAAACAACATGGGTAGACGCGGATGCCTGAGGCTGCAGCCTCATGTGAAGCGCTGCCCTTTTTTGTTTAAATAAGAAAAAGGGAAAACATGAGGAAATGGGGAGGTATAAAAAAAATCATCTCACACTAAAAGTGTGCCGGAGAGTTTCAGGAGCTGCAAGTGGCCTGTGATTCTCAGCAAGAATCGTGTCCAGCTTACGGCTCAGCTCGCAATTCATTTGAGTGTGAGTGTTGGCAGCACGACACATTCCTTCACACATGCCGGGCAGCTTTACAATGGCCAGAACAGTTGCCAATGTTTTCTGAATTTGTCGATCAGCCAGGTAACCACCAACTCCAAAAAGCAGAAATCCATCCATTCATTATCTTTTACCCGCTCCTTCCATTTTGGGTAACAGGGGTGGCCGGTGCCCATGTCCAGCAATCACTGCGAGGGGCGGGGTACACCCTGGACAGGTCTCCAGTCCATCACAGGGCCACATAGAGACAAACGAGACAAACAACCATTCACTCTCTCACTCACACGTAGGGACAATTTAGAGTTACCAATACGAACATAATCTCACTGTATTTCGGTACAATGATAATAAAGCTTATTCTGATTCTGAATTATGTACACATCTTCAGCGTCCTTGACCTACAATGTAGACAGACACGATCTTCTACTTCCCCCAAGAATCCATCGTGTATCCAGCTGCCAGTGTCCAGTCGGGACAGGAGGGCTCTCCTTCGCCCTGTCTTTTTGTTGAGAAAACAGTATTTACTTATTCCCGAGTTCTCCAACTCCTGCCTGTGTTTCGGTTCAAAGTACAGATCATGATAGTAAACTTCCTGTTTACTGTTGCCTGTTTACTCATATGTACTGCTCGCTGCCATGAAAAGTGGGTGATAATGCAATTGCCTGCACGCTTATGTTTGTTTGTCTTTTGTCAAAATACCAAAATATCTAATGACCCACTGGATGGATTTTAATGAAACTTTCAGAAAGGATTTGTTGGCTCTACATCTTCAACTGGTTTACGTTTTGAGATGGACACCCATAAAAAATAATAATATATTTTTTTTAAAAACCTTAGCAAACAGAAAAATGACTCACACTCAGTCAGTTAGGTGTTTCAGTAGCTGAGACTCAACCCCAACACTCTGAGCTCTAACAGATCATGCAAGCTCTTTATTCAAAACTTTTATTTGCAAGGTGACAGATGATATTTCATTTCAGTTTGGGTTTAGTTATGAGATGGAATGCTACACATGAATGTGCATGTTTGCCACATGAAAACAAAATATCGAGCCGTATTTTTGTTGCAGAGCTGGGTAGTCATCAACAACACCCTGACTTGTATTTTCTCAGGTCTGAAGACGATCGTGGGCGCTTTGATCCAGTCCGTGAAGAAAATGGGGGACGTTATGGTTCTGACGGTCTTCGCCCTGGCTGTTTTTGCCCTCGTCGGTCTTCAACTTTTCATGGGAAACCTGCGTCAGAAATGCGTGCGATGGCCCGTTCAGATGAATGAAACTGTGTTTGAATTCTTCAACACCACCTCTAACGACACACTGAACTTCAACACCACCATGGGTGTCAATGATACACTATATTCCAACAGTACCTTCAATTTTATTGAATACATTGAAAACCCGGGTACGTTTGTCACCTATTTTGATTATCTTGTGACGATACTGTCCCATAATAGAGATATTTTCTTTCGGCTTGTAGAAAATCACTATTATTTGGAGGGCAGCCATGATGCTCTAGTTTGTGGTAACAGCTCTGATGCTGGGTATGTATAATAAAAACATCTCTTTATCTTCTCAGTTGTGTCTTCATAAACGCTGCAAATGTCAAAAGTCTGACACAAGAAAAGGTGTTGATAGCAGATGTCTAATTTTTATTCTCCTTCCATAGAAAGTGCCCAGAAGGATACACGTGCATGAAGGCAGGGAGGAACCCTAACTTTGGTTACACCAGCTTTGACTCTTTCGGCTGGTCCTTTCTTGCCCTCTTCAGACTGATGACACAGGACTTCTGGGAGAACCTTTTCCAACTGGTTGGCACTTTATTTATTTGTTACACCGCAGTTTAACCTGATTGGTACTAGTAATTAAATTTACGTGGAAAGTTCTAAGTTCTTGTAGCTTCTGTTGTGCTCCTAACACAGCTCTTAAGAGCAGCCGGTAGGACGTACATGCTGTTCTTCGTGGTGGTTATCTTTCTGGGCTCTTTCTACCTCATCAACCTCATCTTGGCTGTGGTGGCCATGGCTTACGACGAGCAGAATCAGGCAACCCAACTGGAGGCCATCGAAAAGGAGAAAGAGTTCCAGCGACTCCTGGAACAGGTCAAACTTCAAGAGCAGGTAATGATGCCACGATTGATTTATTGGATCATTATCATTAGCTTGCAGCCTATAACAGTAGGCTGTTGATTATTGGGCACTCCAGTTAGTAGCTCTGTTCACACCTCAAACCATATTGTGGACAGCTCTCACTGCGTTTGTTCACACCTGGCAGGTAAATGCATACCCAAAAATGTGCACGCTGGCTGGAGGGGTCATTAGAAGGTTCTGATTACCGTAATTTCTGGCATATAAGTCGCAGTTTTTTGCATAGACTTGTCAGTCCTGCGACTTATACGCCAAAGCGACATATATGTTTTTTCCATATTCATAACGCAATTTTTGACTGACGATTTAAATTTCTAATAATTGCAACAGCGAGTCCTCCCGTGCGTGCTCGCTTCACTCAGCTGGTGCAGGCGGAGGAACGCCGGAGGGCAAGCGGCTCCGGCTGTGATGAATGTATGGCACCGCGCCGCCCAGGTGAAATAAAGCTGTTTTGACCAGTAAAGCGCATTTATTAAGGAAAAGTTAAACTGAGACACACCTTTGGTATAATGCCGAGCAAACAAATAATTGTTTTTAAACGTTAATCTTGTTAAAGTTCTAAGAATTGCAACAGCGAGTCCTCCCGTGTGTGCTCGCTTCACTCAGCTGGAGCAGGCGGAAGAACGCAGGAGAGCTAGTGGCTCCGGCTGCAATGGACGCTTGGATGGATGGATGCCGGTAGATGGATGGATGGATGGCGCCGTGCCACCCAGACAAAATGAAGCTGTTTTGACCATTAAATAAATGCATAATAAACACGACAAGTCAGCGGTGACGCATAATAAAGCGACTTAGATGTGTTTTTTTTCCTCTTCATGATGCTTTTTTGACTGATGTGACTTGTACTCTGGAGCGACTTATACGCCAGAAAATAAGGTAGATGAGCTCATATTGCAAGAGAACTATGGCTGACTCCAGTATTTCGGATTGTAAGGCACATTAGGCAAAATAAGTTCATTTTGACAGATTTTTGAGCGCTGTGTACCATATAAAATTGGTTCAAGGTCAGTAAGCACAACCAGAATTAATACATAAGGCTCACAGTTGATTTTTGAGAAAATTAAAGTATTTTAAGTGTGCCTTATAGTCTGAAAAGTAATAAAGTATAAGGAGTATTTCCATGCAAAGCTCTGAAAGTTATAGCCCACAATGACAGCAGTGGGTTCAAATAACTTTAAAACAACAAGAACTAACTTTAAACTAAAGAGAATGAAATGTTGTGGTGGCAGGGCAGCAGCCGGGTGGAAAAGAGTCACGTCGGTTTACAATGAGGTCCTACAGTTCATCAAATACATGCGAATACAAAGCGTCCGAACCTAAAGTAGTTTAAATGAAAGCATTTGACGTGCACTGAGGCCACTCGGACTCGTAACGCTCATCAACCATGATGGATGTCAGTGCCTGGTGTGAACAAGGTCTTAGGTCCTGCTTAATCCTGTGCAGGGTCACAGAGAGCAGACGGTTGTCACCATTAGCCGAGAGGTGGGGTAAACTTTGGACAGGTCGGCCGTCCGTCACCGAGCCGAGACAAACAACCATTCATGCACACGCTCAAACATGCAGCTAATTCAAAATCACCAAACAACCTAAAGTGCAAGTTATGGTACTGTGGGAGGAAACCGGAGTACAGACAGCCCATGTATGAAGATGGAACAACATACAACATCAATGCAGTGTTTAGAATCCAGGAGCTTCGTGCTGCAGGACAGAAGTGATGTGTCACCATGCAGCTCGCCTCATGTCACAGCATAACCTACTGTCATGTGTCTGCTCACAGCATACTAATTGCTTTGTTTTCAGCATGACAAATGCACGTATTTGATCATTTCATTTAATACGCAAATAATTACCTCTTAATTTTTAAGTTAGGTGCTTCAAAACGGAAGAAATCTCAAAAGAAATAAACTGAAAATGTCATGTTTTTCCAAACAGGCTCAGGTTTATGGAAGTCAAGCGACTCTGACCAGTAAAAAGTCTCTTAGTCAACAAACACCATCTGAAAAGTCAGATTATGAGAATAATCTGAAGCAGGATGAGGCTATAAAGGACTGTAACGGGAGAATTATTCCTCGGTTGTTGATCAGAGCCCCCACCATGGACGAGGTTAGTCGCTCACTCTTACACCACTGCTGCCTCTTTCATCTACACTGTTGTTTTATTCACATCTATTCAAAGAATGTCTAATCTTATTCTATAGTCTGCTGTAGATTATGAGTTGAAAAAGACGTCCCTGGACTCATTGCCCGGCGCGCTGCATCTGGATGAACCGGGCCTGAAACAGAGATCTGGAAGTGCTACAACTGTGCTTACTGCAGCTGCTATGGAAGGTACGGTGCTTTTACTGCACCACAAACTGCACATGATCCCTGGCTGTGGGATGCATTGATACACCAACATAAACCTGTTTCAGTGAGCTGCTTAATAATAACAAAATAATGTTAGCTAGCTTTACTGTGCAGGACAATGAAACTTGTACCAGCTACTGGCTGCCGGGGGACTGGTTTGTTGCTGGTTCAGTTTCTTCACAAAACTGTGTTTGAGTCAGTTGGTGCTGGTTGTGAGCCTGCCAATGAGTGGGCTTGTGACTGGAGAGCATCCTGAGTGGGTGGGGTCATTGCAGATCTTTATGGGATGGAGGAGGAGTGATGGGTGTTGTTAGGAATAACATAACCTTTAATGATATATTGTGGAAAATAACATAATATGGGTTGGTGAGTTTAATGTTTAATTATGAATTATGGAAAATAGTTCATATAAAGATGACTAGAATATCTGTCAGATGTGTAAACTAGGCTATAAGCTGATAAATAATGTCTTTTAGTGGCTGCTAACGTTTAAAATCAACCATGACACTTTCTGCTGTCAGTAGGAAAATAATTCCTTATAAGGCCTTTAATGAGAAACAAAGCATCAACCTCAAAGGTTCTGTTACAGTTAACTAAGATCAACTATAAAGTTAAATTATAATTCACATCATGTGAGTATGTGTGGGGATTAAAAAAAATTAATAATGAGTCAAAGAGCAGCTCAATAGGTCAGAACGACTCTAGAGCAATCTAAGACTTGATAATGTAATGAGTACCAAGGAGATAATCAGTCTCACAGTCATTGTGAGAGTATGTGTGTGGGTGCTCAAATGTGTCTAATGGAAAGAGGAAAGTGTCACGTACTCAGCTGAAAGAGATGACAGCTAATGTGTGCCCGTTTGATTGGATAGAAATTGAAAACAGGAAGTGTCATGGGGTGGAGAAAACAGAGTCTATAAGTGTGGGAACAGACCTGACACAAGGCAGAATTGTACGAGGGCCCCTTAATATCAGGTAATATATATATATATATATATATACAATTCTCTCTTGTTCACGCATTTTGAAGTCTGTAAAAATAAAGAGGTTGTTAATTCTGTTGTTCCTTGTTGTTCCTTCCGAGCAAACAGGAAGGAGAGGAGGAAAGATCTTTGTTTCCCCAACCGTGTGGTGTTCACCTTCCAGCCAGTGTTGTCAAGTCCGCGTATTATAAGCAACTTTGGGCTTCTAAAAAAGTTAAATCTGGTCCTCTGGACATTCAAAAAAACAAAACAAAGCAAATCAATAAAAAAATGTAGAAACGTTTCGTCTCTCGTCCGAGAGACTTCTTCAGTCTGAGGTGCTGTTTTCAGCTCAGTCTCTTAAATAGTACCTTCTCAGAGTGGATCAACCAGTTTTGCTGCTGACAACCAAAACC